AAAAAACCATATAATAAGAAAAACATAAATAAAAGAAAATGCATTAGAATTCACTAAGAATGCATCGCAATTTTTTTCTGAAAACATGATGGGTTTTCTTGCTAATTTTCGAATTTCTAAGCGATAACTAGAGCTTTGAATATTTTAAAATTACTTGGTATCTTAGCCTTTATTTGGCGTATCCCATTGAACCTATTCATCATATGAATGGGTGAATGCACTAAAAGTGCTTTGCAGCTGTAAGTTCAAAGCATTCGGTAGTCAGCCATTTGTGGCTAGATTATGTCCCTCCAACCGCTGTTCAGGAAAGTTTTTCTCCTAAAATATATGCAAAAAATTTCCAGACATTTCAAAAACTTCTCAATTTTGCAACATCCAGTTCAGCTCTTCAAATCTCCGAATCACAACTAGACGATGACGGCACTAGCGCGGCATTTCATTATGTGTCGCGTAAAATTTATAGCCCATGTCGATGCGTCTTTGGTTCGTCTCCCCATTCATCACAGTATAACTATCTTACAGCCTATCTAACCACTAAATACCCCTCCGCTATCCAGAGTTGCGTTTTTAGTGCTGTGTTTTCACGTGCTGACAACAAAAAAAATTGGCTAGAAGTGGAACCGGTTTTGCAGCTGTCCGTTTGGTCAAAGCAAACTAACAGCAAGTAGCGAAACATATCAAGCGCATTAGAAGTGTATAGCAAGAAATCACTTTAAAACGATTTCATTATAGCTTTTCAGTTTTATGCTAGGAAAATGGTAATGCTAATGCTTTGACTTAAGCCATTAGCATTATTTATCTAAGCCCCGTTGGAAATTGTTTATTTTGGGAATGTGGAACTTAGTTTGCGCCAGAAAATCTTCTTTCTTCTCATGTACATTAGAGTTATTCAAGTACGAATTTTTGATCTATTCTGCAAGTTGGTTGAGAAGTAAAGTTTTCTTATACAATGGCGTACCAAGGACTATTCCCCTTTCTCGTGAATGAGGTGTGACGTTTTATCAGTGTTCTAGAAAATTAAAAAATAATGCTAGTTGCTTTCATCTTTACCACATTATCGTGCTTTTATCTCTACCAAATTAAATTTTCTGTCTACTCTATAAAAATTCAAGCGACTTGATCGAAGTTTTCAGTGGCTTTTAAGGGCAAATTCTTTCCCCTCCCTCTCCAAAATATATCTGGAACCTCCTCCAATCTTATATTCTGACAAATGAGCTAATCCGTTGTTCCTTTCGTTTTGCTTCGCACCATACTTTAATCCGTGCCGCTCTCTAATCCTCTGTCTGGAACGCTTGAGTGCTAATGGGGGTCAGTCCTTTTCTACTATTTTCTTTATGAAAGTAGAGATTGGTTAGGAAGGCTGTCTCGAGTAAGCAGAACGCCTTTTGTGATTTTTTTAACCCCTCTTTCCCTCGCTGAGCAGGCATTCTACCATTTCACTTCATTACTCTGAAGTTTTTCATTGAAGAACGCTACGTTTAACACATGTGACGATCGTAACCTTGACGACGTCCTCGACGATCACAAGAAAGAACCACATATTATCTGTGAGATCGCTGTTTATCTCCCCAGTTGTACCACAATTTATAGCGCATTTCACAACGAGACGAGATATTTGATAGCAGCTAGCGCTCTTTCAGATGTTCCTAATCTAGAACAAGTGTTAGAGCAATGGCTACATGGGAGTTTTATGTTTTACAGTTCTATAGATCTCATAAATCTCTCAAGGACATTCGCCAGGCGTGACACCACGCATAGCTCGCTCTACCAATTCATTTGTCTCTAGCTCTAGCCTGGCAATGTCGATGACTTCGTTGTCGATGATTAGCTAGAATTACTTTGAGATACGCCTCGGTCATTGTGTCATGCGTATGTAATTAGTGTTAGTCGCTAAGAGTTTCATTGACCCTTTCGAAGCCTTGACGGTCGCTTGCTGGTAGCCTCTCCTTTGAAGTTAGCAACTGTATACACATTGTCTTTCGAGCATTCGTTTACTCGCCTTTTGCCGTCTCAACAAACTTTGGCCTCCTGTGGAGAGGCCGCAAGTTGAGGTACTAGAGCAGAAAATTATCTTGAGTAATTGGGAGCATAGCTAGTCTTTTTTATGCTGGATAATACAGCTCTATAACTCTTTGTTTTTTCCTTAGAAGCCTCTTCCTTGGTTTTTTGATTGCGCAAGAAAATGATCACAGCCCCGCACCAATCTCCAACTGCTACCTTCTTTACTAACTAATATTGCATTCTCGAATCCTGGAATTATTTCAGCACTTAATTTACACAGCTGTTGTTTACATAGTTTCTTATGCAATCATTTGCTAGACTAGCTTTGATGGTAGTATAGCAAATGAACAATTTCTTTCAAAATCATCTTTTTAACGGGCAAAAATTCTCCCAAACTTCTGAAGACATTCTTTGTGGATTGGTACCCCATTACTTCAACTCCGAGGAAAATTGTTTATAAATGCACTTTTAAATTATTCGATTACTAGATGACGATTCAAACTTTCATAAAAACTTTTTTGATCTTCCAAAAATCTCCGTTGTGAGTCCTTCAATGAGAATTTGTCCGTAAATGCAGCTATAAATCATTTAATCATTTGGATGGTTCGCACATTTATAAAGGTCGGCGTAACGGCCCTTTTTAGGAGCCAATCGGTAAAAAAGGGTAGCACCTTTAGCACTTTGGTTACTACGAATTTTGTAGACTTGTGGGGTAAGCCGCTCTATCGCTAATAGCAAATCAAATATTTGCCCTTGAGAAAAAACAATCACCTACATTTTTTGATATCTAGAAACTAGCATAACTCTACATAATTTTTGTGACCTGTCATCTTTCCAATCTGTTCGTCCCGGACTATGTAGAGCTTAGTGGAACTAGATTCTATTGATGTATTACTGCCTTTTACGTTCCGCGTTCTAGTTGAGGGTTAAACTTTTGGAACACCACCACCACGGTGGGACGCATTGTCCTAATTTGCAGTGCGTTTTTCATAGCGCTAAATCGTCGAGCATTCAGATCATTTGACACACTGAGCTGGTTCACATTTGTCTCTGACAACGCGCTTGCCCATCCACATGTGGTTGGCCTTCTGCTCGTGGTCGTCTGGCATTATCAAAGGAGCGAAACCATGACATTTTGGCCTTCGATTTCTTTCTAGTTGATTTCATCCGGCTTCCAAATCACATATGAACAGCGTATTTATTTAGCTGCATAGGCGGAGGGATAGGAAGCGAATCCGTTGCATATGAAAACCTCTAAAAGCTTTGCCATGTCTGACTGCAGCAGGCCTTTTCCGGAGCGGATGATCACCTCCTAATCTCACGCAATTGTAAATTATTTCCTCACATGACCTCTGTTCGTCTTCTAACTGTCTGTTCTCTGTCTATGGCGCTCGTTTTATTCTCTCTCAACACAACACAGACATTCAACGAGCGCTAACAATACCGCGTAAATATGTCATCTGTCCCCGGCCCAGGGCCAGCAGGCAAGCAGCCCCTGTAGTGGCATATTGAATAGTCCGCCCTAGAAATGCCATTCACACGAATGCCATTCACACGATCTTCCGATTCCCGTTACGTCTTTCATTCCCCGGTTGTTCGGTTGTTTAGGTCTACACTTCAAGTTTGAACTCCCGATCAGTCGCTGCTGTGATAAACTGGTTCCTAAAGCATTTCTGCAAAGTGTTTTGCAGCTATGAGCGCTTTAGAAAACGCAGTGAAACCAAGTGTGTTATCGTTGATGTTCGTCTGTAAATACATTGTCATTTAGGAAATTAAGCTTTCAACTTTTCCGAATTTGGTGCTATACATTCAAGCTAACATTGTGTAGGTTAATTTCTATTAATCTATCTCTCGGAATCACTTATTAGATTACGTACCAAAGCACATACATTATTTGTCCCATGAGCTATTTTATGGAACTTCGTTAGCGCTGAAACATAATAAAATTAAAGATGGGGTAAAAATCCATTAGACTGTAATGAGTTGAAGCATTTCACTATTTCCTCAGGTCTCACTGGGATTGCCATACTCTCTGCCACTTTCATAAATGATGGAATGAAGTGGAATTATGAACATTTTTATGTTACCTTTTCGTGTGATTGTTGGCTTCAAAATACCAAAGCAAAAGTGTATAAATTGAGACAATGAAATAAATTCAAACTATGAAATTTCGACGAGTTTAGATAATTTTTTCATATCAGTACAAGTCCCGTCCTCTTCATTCGCATTTTAGAACTTCTTGTCCTTCACGGAATCTTCGGTTCTATAGTTCCTTTTTTGGAAATACAATCTCGTGTTTTTTCTGCCCTTGAAACCCTACTCACACCTACTCGTCAGTCAAGTACGGTATCGTACTGTAGCTCCGCTCTAGCAGACTAGGGTGACTTCAAACCTTGGGCTCTTTATAATTTCTGCGTTTCACATAACATCAGATTTATTTCGTACACTTGCGACTTCATGATGATTTCTTCCAAATTGCCTCTTGCATAAAAAACGCCTCCAAACTGCTTTTGACTCCGCGCATCAGTTCAGACACGGTGTCGTATGTCATAATTGCGAGGAAAATAAATTTTGCAGGGTTTTTAGTCGCTCTTCGCACCTATGCATCACTTCGATTACGGTAGCATACTGTAGTTCGTTTTCTAAGCAGGCTATAGAAACTCTAATGATCACACAGCATCTTCAAAAGCGTATAGGCTACGACAGAGCGGTGTAAGTGTGACCCAATAGCGCGCGGTCGGTGTGCGCGACACATACTCGACGTCAAAAAAAGTTGTCAGTTGTCCTTCGTGTCGGCCTATTATAGCCTATCCTGTTTTCGATGGAGTAGCGACAGAGAAAACCTACTCATACACACAGACAGCAGTTTAGTCTTTCATTCGTATACCTCTCCGTCTGCTCACACGGCCTTTCTCTTTGCCTTTGCGTCAGAATCGAAACGCGCGTTCAGTTTAGGATGTCTCTGTTTTTGTTCGGCGGATAAAATGCTGTGTTTGCAGATGAACAAACAAAAGTCAACCGAGCCGATCCGACTAAAGCCGATTCTGTTGCCATCGCCGCCTCGACTGCCCACCACTAATCAGACTACGCCAAGCAGCCATTTAGTGAGTTTAGATGCATTCCGAAGTACTTCTTCCATTGCTGCAGCTTCTGTTCCAACCCAATTGATCCGGTAACGAACTTCAATAGGAACACATACACACTCACACACTAACCATCGGTTGTCAAACTAGTTTCATAGCGCTCCATCACGGCCGATTGAAAGCATACGTTGTTGTTTGGTACTGGATCCACCTCTTAACGTTCGTTCACGTTCGTTCGCAATTCTCTGTCTCAAAACGAGTGGTGCGCCTCTTAAGTGTCAAACTAATGTCTCTTTTCTCCATTCAGTATCATATACAAAGCCAAAAACACTAATTCTGCTTTCTGTTTGATTTCTCGTCCTCAAAATTGATATGTTGAAATTTTCTAGTTATATAAGGATGCAAATTCACTTCATCGACGGTCACCTCTTGTTGCTATGCTTTGTTAGTAAACTACGCCAAAACAGCCACAAATGATTTTCATTCTCTAAAGAATATAAAATTGACTTCCCTATGTTTGGAATTTTCATTCTGTAAAAAAAGATTTTGAATAAATTCGGGAGATAAAGTCCATCATTTTTATTGCGTTTTTCCAGATGAAATCCTCATCGCCACGTTATTGCCCATACGCGAAACCGGGTACATCTTCGCCGATCTCGCTACCGTCTATCAATACCGTACTCCCGCCATCGTCACCGTATTCCACGCCGGTCTCACCCGCTTCTTCGAATTACTGTACATTTTCACCCGAATCGGGCACGGTTACACCACTTTCACAACCACTCTTCATACAAACTGATGATTCCTATTGGTACGGTAGCTCGGCACCTTATCCCTATGACGTGTGCAAATTCGGTTCACCGCCTATAATCTCCATTCCATATCCGTATTCACAATTACCAAATGGGCAGGTTTTCTCATCTTGTTACTAACAAGGGAAGGATACATGGTCGAAGTGGCATTTCATCTTGAAATGTATAATGTCTTATAGAGCTTAGGACGCTGATTCCGAATCTGTCTTCGCTATCTGCCGAGCGCCTCTGGACGCCAAGTTATGAGCGTTCTTTGGGTTAAAAAATTGAATGCGTAATTAGGGCAAAATTCGTCAGAATTGCTCAAATGGTCCAATGTTGGTTACCAGAGCACCCCATTTCAAAGGATACCTTTTGCCCAAAACACTCATACAACATGTTGCTCTATTTAGGCGCTGAAAAGTCCGTAATAGTCAATTTTACTTGAATTCTGTGTTCATTTTTCGCTCCAAAAAACATTTATAACTCGGCGTCCAGAGGCGCCCGGCAGATAACGAAGAAAGATTCGGAATCAGCGTTTAACGCTCTTCAAAATAGTATATGATCCATTTGAAAAGGCCACTTCGACTGATCCGACCTCCCTTGTAAGTGTTTTGTTTCGCATGTTGTATTTTTTTCGTGCAATATATGTGTTGTGTTACGAGTATGTTCTTTTGTTTCCAATAAATCTAATAACTGGTAATTGTTAGTTTGGAGTCACTCTGACAAAAAATCAACGCCGTCGAGCAGCAGAGCACATCAGTTGGGACGTCTCGATATTTTTTTTCAATATCAGTCCGTCCAAATTCAAAGTTTTTTACAAAGGCCTCACCGTGTATATAGGAAGAAAATTGACTCCGTGAGGAAATTGCAATTTAAGAGTTGGTTGCAAACTAATTCCTTTGTGACATTGATCACGAGAATATTCGTAATAACGGCTCTTAACGCAAGATCCTTTGAATGGTAGAGGACAAGATTCAAACCTGTGCTGATCAAAATTTTTTCGGAAGAACAATTTTTGGGACCATCTCGTAGCTATCTAAAACTCCTAACATTGTTTGTTCATTATGCTAGATAGAATGCTCCCGTCGTTGTATATAACCAAAATTCTAGCTGTTTTGTCCTGTTACCGTTAGCAAATCAAAGTGTGAAAATCGCTCGTAGCCTTCCTTAGGGTTCAAAAACAGACTTCGTAAGGCTATTTGCAAACATACTATTATGAGCTTGCATTTTACACTGTTTCCACAGCATTTATGAAATTTGTGCAGATTTTAGACCTGCAGATGTAAAATCAACCTCTTCTTTTGGTATCGACTCAAACTTTTGCAAATTATAAGCATGCTCACTAACAGCTAGCATTGACCTCTCACGTTTTCCAGACTGCGCGCACGAAAAGCAAGTCATATCCGACTAGCTTGCAACATGATGACATCAGTTCACGTTCTCGGAAAAAATTTCAACCCATGTGATCCAGCGATAGTGTTTGAGAAAACGGCAACTACGCGGTATACTTGGAACATAGTAGTCTCCTCCCTTTTATCAAGTAAAGAACTTTGCCGTTTTTTGGGTCAAGTAATCTATTATAAATTGATGGTGTTTTGACTCACTGAACAAATGTTTACTTGAACTGAAATCTGCGTTGTATTTAGAGGCAATCAAAGAGATTACTTGGACAGGATATCTTGGGGGGGGGGCAGCCAACATGAACGATAGGTTGTGCCAGCCATATGCGCTGCGTAGGTCAAATCTTTTTCAAATTCCATATTTACGCTATGATGATATCTCGAAACTTGGAAAAAACGTTGGGAGGTCTGTATGCCCTGATTCTTACTGTTCGACACCATTTACAATCCGGTTTGGGATATACAGCGTTAAGAAATAATACTTTATGTGCAACATAGTGACAACCGCTGGAGTACAGTATGCTTATTGCCAGCTATCGTTCATCTTGGCATACCCCCGATATCTTGGTGTTTACCCTGCCATTCCGTCAGCAAGCGGTTTGGGACTTTTCTCTTTTCTAGTGATGTACATGGTTTGTGATTGTTTTTATCATGTCACATTCATCTCCGCGAGTTGTAAAATTAGCTGTTATCATGTTTATATGAGTTCCCTTTACTCTTTTTTTTCGGTGCATCATGGGTATATTAGTTATCAAATAGATTGAATGACAGTGGAACGTATTACAAAAGAACGGAACAGACAACTCAATTTCTCATAAGTTTTCATAGCGGACACCAAATAGCAGGCTACTAATTCAACTCGCTACTAATACAAGATGTCCCAAAAGTAAAAAACACACTTTTTAATCGTTAATCTTTCTTCCAGCGTCTTTTGCTTATCTTCAAGTACCATTTAGTAGAGCCGGCTTCAGCTTAAATTTACAGCATGAAGCGAATCACCATCTCTCTTGTTTACTGTAGAACTACGGTAGAACGTTTTAACTTACAGCTTCACTATGGACTAACTCCAAATAATCTGAGTCGTTGTGTACCAGGGTTTTCACGCGCGCTGATTTCATTTCTCAACTTCTCACGAGTTTGCAGAGCTTTTTGAAGGGTGTAATCACAGTTGTAAGGAGCATTGTAAAGGCAGCTGTTGCGGTTTACTTGGCTCAACTTATGAACGTAGAATTGTGGTAAAGTGCAAAGCCCATATTTAGTATTAGCGGCTCTGAATAGCCTAGTGCGAAAATTTTCAAGTTGTTTTGTCTGCTGTTTGAGGCGAGCTGGAACCCCCAATGGCTCAAAACGTTTTGATTTTGCACCGTAATCTTACAGTAATGAAGAGAGGTGGATAGTTCGCTTCATACTATGAAACCAAATTGAAGCCTGCAATCAAATTGAAACCTGCTCTAATTGATACTTAAATCTAAGCAAAAGGCTTTGTGTGAAGCGCTATCAACCAATAAAAAACGTGTTCTGACGTTTTAGACACCCTGTATTTTCAAGTCCTCTCATGGATGACGTGCAAATTTTTACATGTACGGACTGTGAGACATTTTGAGACAACTGTTGCAGTGTTGCATTGGAAAACAGGTACATTCTACGTACCTAGATGGTAACCCCGTTAAAAAGAAAATAGTTTCCACAACAAATGTTCTACTTCTATGAGGTCTTATGACACCACGTGCAACAAGTTTTTGTCTTATTATTCTCCTTCAAATTGCACATCTAGTACAGATTATTCATTAACTTTCATGCGGAAAAAGTCACGGGTCACCTGCACAGATCAAGTAGACTAAACTTCCATCATTTCGACGTAATGTGATCTGAAGGGTTTAAGGAAGAAAACGTTGACTGACAATGAACATTCTTCAAACCTAGACATTTCCTCCTACAACAAAGATGAATGCCCTAGTTTGTTTTTCTCGCTCGTATTACTATGGTGAATCCCTTCTACTGAAGACGTCATTACTGGGTGACACTTGATAGAGCAGAGCAATCTAATCAAACGATAGAGACGATTGAAAATGATGAAAAATCTATTTCGCAACCGTCATCGCTCATTTATCTACAAACGATGTAGGTACCATACAGAGAAGCTTCTGTCTATCGCTGTAATCGCAGTATTTCTAGCAGATGTGAAAGTCAAACAACCTTGGACTCATTTCTATGATAGCATTGCTCTTCGATTTTTGATTGGTAATCGTCAATCAGTTTTGATGGATCTTCTCTCTCGAATTCCAATTGGACATTGCTCGTTCAAAACCAGTGACCAGCGCAACAACGAGCGTAGTAGCAGGTGCTCGAATGATCATCTATGCGGGATTCGAAATGAGAAATAATGAATAGGGAATTCGAACGTGCTTATATTAGTAAAAGATCAGACCTACCCTTCTTCCTTTGTGATACTCTTCTGCATGTTTCTACTTGGTATTTTACATATCAAAGCTCAAAACTGTATAACAGTATCTACATTCAATAACAGCGGAATCCGTCTGTGCCCGCGATGAAAGATGTGAAAAGCACATTATAACAAGTAAGCTCGAATCAGGTAATAAGACTAATGGTACAAGTTACTCAAGAAAATGTCAGATTCCCTTTCTCATTGCTATGGCAGACTGCCATGTTGCTATGATTGATGGTTATGCTTGCATTGTCATTATCACAATGTTTTAATCTTACTTTTTGATAGTTCGTCAGTGGTAGTCTTTGAGAAGATATACCGCTTTGGCCCACTAAAACTAAAGCTTAAGTTTTCAAAAATGTGATGCAATTGGCAGTAAAAACTACTGTTACTCGGCGTAAATGTTCAAGCCGCTTTTTGAAGCGGTCCGCGAATCCCTCAAAATTGAGACAGGCTCCATACAGGTTTCAATCACTTTCCAGCAGGGCTCAGCACAGCTGGCACCGGGTCAAGCTGGATATCGTTTTTAGGGCGGAAAGCAAAGGGGATATCGTTTCCACAGGGGCCGAGGCGGAGAACTGCCGCAAAAATGCCGCCGGCATGCCATTGGCAAGCTGTCCATCAACAAACAAAGGCGTTGTTTTCAGCCAAAACGCAATAGTATGACACCAAATTTGGTGTGTGCATGCGCGTTGGTGGACCGGAACTACGGGCCAAAAATTTATGAAAACTTATGTGAATGAAAGCTGTGCCCAACTTTTTTCTGAATTAGCTGGCACCGTGCCAGCTGGGTGCCAGCTGAGCTGGCACCGACACTTTGCTCACATAAGTTTTCATACTTTTTTACATAAAATGTATCTACACTGTAAAAGATTACATACGGATAACAAACATTTTCATAATGTTCTCTTTTCAGCGTTCTATAGCAATTTGAAAACCACTTGGCCCGCTCCGCAGTCGAAAAATCGGCTTTTTCTGCTTCTCAATATGTGATTCGACCACTTAAAAAGCTCAGAAAGTTGTAAAAAGTTCTTTCATGAATCAGAAATAAACACTACTACATTTTTTACATAATATAAAAATGATGACGGGTTTTCAAAACAGGTCAAAAGGGACTTCGTACGAAATTTTCAATATCAAACGAGACTTCGTTTTGAAATTTCCCTGGTGCCAGCTCGTGCCGAGCCCTGCTTTCCAGCGGTTACGTATTCGAGCGATTTCTTTCTAGCGCTCAGACAAGCATGTTTCCACAACCTTGCGTTTACCTTGCCTAACTTCGGCTGATCTCCAAGAATTTGGCTTCAAACTTCCGAGGCGTTGATAAGTACTACAAAGATCGAATTCTTTAGCAATGCAACACTTTCTTCTCCTCAAACTGACTTTTCAAAGTTTTTGACCAGATATTTTGAAAGTTCTGAGCTTGAAAAAAAAAGCGAAAATAATGTTGGTTCATGATCAATGCGCATTTCTTGAAATCAACTTTGAGTCGACCTTATTGTCTCCAAAGCAATATTGATGTAAGCTACAAAAACTGTTACAAGCAGCAGACTTTTTACTATACAGCACATGCGTACAAATGTAACCACTAGGAGAAAAATTCTCCGGCCTAAATTGTAGAAATGTTTCTTTTTTGTTTCTTTCTTGTTTTTTGAAAAAGGCAAAAAAACTGCTTATTTTGGAATTAGCCAATTTTTGCTCCATGAAAAATTAAAGAAACCTTGTCATTTTCCTATCATAAGTCGTGGCCTACTCCCTATAAAGAGCAAAAGTACTACAATCGTTATTAAGATTTTCAAACAATATGTTCACGCGATCAGCCAAGTTTCAGCACAACGTTTCAGAAATTTAGCGTTGGTAACAGGGCTCGACACGAAGTGGCTAGTTGAAAATGCAAAAAACGAAGTCCCCCTCAACTTACGCAAATTTTTACAAAGTCCCCTTTGACCCTAGACCATGATACCTAAAAAGTCTCCAAAAAACGAAACGTCGACTAAAAAAACGTCGCTCATTTTGTGTCCTTTCGGCCACAAAAACGAAACCATCTTTGCCTTTTGTCCCAAAAACGACATCCAGCTTGCTTAAAAGCCACCTGTGCCGAGCCCTGGTTGGTAAGCATTTTGTAGCACACAACTTCGCATTTATTAGGTTGACCGAAAGTTCTGTCGCTACAGAATTCAAGGTGTCGTGCTGGCGGCAGGATATACAGGGTGTCCCAAAAGTATGTGTGCACTGTTTGATCGTTAATATCTCTCTTCCCAAGAAGTCTTTCGCCTTGCTTTAGGTACCATTTTGTAGAGCTAACTTCAACTTAGAGTTGCAGTATGGAGAGAATCACCGAGCTCTTCATTACTGTAGGATTACGGTAGGAACTTGAATCATATGGTGTCAATTTGGAAAAAACTGCCATTTCAAAATTTTTCAAAAAAATGTGAAAACTTGTGTAATATGGTTTTTATGGATGCTGAGTTCAATACTCAACTATTCAAAAGAGTGCGAAGCTTTCTAAACGGTCTAACCGCACTATTTAGGAACATTGAAAAAATGGCCGCTTACCTGGCGTAACTCTTCAATGAAGCATCATAATAAGTTGGGAACTTCACAGTTAAAATTAGCAAAACTTTAAGTAGCCTAGTGTAAAGGCTTTTCAGGCTGTTTTGTTCTGGGGCAAAATATGGCCTTTCATTGCTCAAACCCTCTTTGAAGTTTCCACCGTAATCCTACAGTAACGAAGAGAGATGGGTGATTCGTTCCATACAATCTAAACTGAAGCCAGCTCTACAAAATGGTACTTAAAGCAAGGCGAAAGACTTCTTGGGAAAAGAGATATTAACGATCAAACAGTGCATACATGCTTTTGGGATACCCTTTATACCAAAAAAGTAAGTGGGGTACGTTTGATAGTTTGCAAAGCAAGCTCTACAAAATGGCTTTCAAACATTTGCAGAAAATGAACAAATTTTAGTTAAAAGCCAGACTCCAAAGAGCTTCAAATACCACAAAAACCGAAAAAAATCGTACTTCCCCCTAAATTTCTGGAAAACTTCAACTTGCTAAGGTATTTATTCCTCCTCATTCTACATTCACATGTGCCTTTGCTGCATTTTTTTCCGCTGCTGGAAAGTGAAGAAACGAGAATTGGCAAACTTTAGCAAAAGCGATGCTAAGCTGTTCGCAAATCACTAATTTTATATTACAATCTTCGAAAATACGATCATATTCAGCCTTCAACAAGGTTAGTTTCCAAGAAGAATCACTTGTATGGAAACCCGGAAATGGCAACATTTTTGCATTTTAGATCTATTGTTGCTTCTCAATTTCTAATCATGAAAAAATCCATCAACTGTATCGGTCATTGTAAAATGTGGGGATAATATGCTCGAGCAAGTTGGAGATCCGCAGAATATTTTGGAGCCTTGATAACGTTTTTTTTGAGTTCTTTAAGCGTAAAAAACTTCTTGAATTTCGGCTTTGAACTTCACGTTGGTCAGACTTGTTGCGCTCATTTAAATGTCGCCTTGTAGAGTTTGGTTTGATTCATCCAACATACCCTACTCAAATTCAGTACTTATCTTGCGTCCGCATCATATCTTGAAGTGCGAAGCGACAAAACTTTCGGTTCAACCTATACCTTTTTAAAATAAATCCAACCGTTACTCATCGAAGAGCAATAAGACTGAAAAGAAAAACTTTCGAGCATCAGTCTTTGATTTTTGAAGGCATACAATTCGGGCTTCAACAAATATTTGGAAAACGAAAACTTGTTCAAGAAACTAGAAGATGCATGCTTTCAGATACCACAAAAAATTGAGAATGAACATTTTTACCTTAAGATCTAGCGCTTGGAAGAAGGGGCGAGAAAGACGAGAATTAGTTATGAACCAACCTAGTGTATGATCACGAATTTGAAGTTCTCACAATTGGAGATACACAAAACCTAGTTTCAGATGAAAATTTTCAGAAAGTAAATGGATGATTAGGTTTTAGATTGTTACAATTTCGAGATTTCTGGTGTCTATCATATGCACTAACAAAAACGAGAAATACAATATTTTCTTCGATTTTTACATACACAAGAAGAGATAAGTATAAGAAAGAAGAGTGGTGACTTCAAGGAAATAAATAATTCTAAAACGTAAGCTGGAGAGGTGCTAACAAAATTTTCATTTTAGCTTTATCGGCTAACGTTAGACAAAAATGATATGTCGTAAACTCGCAAATCATCTGAAAGAGCTTGCCGAAAGAATCACTTAAATATTCGAATAGTCGTTGGAAAGAGCAGGAAACTTCGCCCGGAGAGGTACTAAAAATGTCAAACTATCAATTTCTAAGGAATTTGCGAAATAATGCAAAAACGCCGCGAATTTTCGGACAGACCTACAGAATTCCACTAAAAGCGGATTTTAACTTCATATTGTGGCAGGATGCGTGGAAAGTGATTGCCTTTTTAATGCGGTCACGTAATAAATTGCTATCAGGTCGGGCTCGGCAGAAATAAAGGCCACAATTTCCTTCGAATTTTTGCTATTATCAAAAGCGCTCACCATACATGACGATAAACAACAGAACTAACAAGAAGAGCTATCTACTTTGTTGGCATAATAGCAGTTTGAATTCCTACGATCTGACGATGAAAGTCAACAGCTCCTACTTTGCAGTCGTTTCACTTCAAAACACAGGCGTCTGCGACAAAATTGGGATTGTTGCCTTACATCACACCCTTACCATTGATCCAGGAGCTTTACCGCTTACCGTTCACCAACGCAAGCTCATGAAAAGACCTTTACATATCAAGTACACCCTTTGATTCAACTAGCTTGGCCGCTGGAAGGCGTTGCTGTGACCTGATTAAGGCAAGGTACTGATCAGAGAGCACGCGCGCGGAAAGCAGACACAGCCCCGCCTTCCAGCCGACAAGTCAGTTGAATCAGAGTTTATAACTTTACGTGACTATAACATGTGTAAAAGGCTGGCAGATATAAGATTTTTATTACGTTTGTAATACAAATCGCTTTCGCTTCGTCGAGATGCATGAGGAGGAGTACATCACCCAACAGCGGCAGTAAGAATCGGACTTTCACATGTATGTCCTACGCAGATCGGGGAATAATTTCTGTTCACTTCCACTTTCATCAATTTAACCCGGGAAACTTCTTTGAAATTTCAAAATTAAGATTTCCATATCGATTCCTACACGATGCACAAAAAAAGATCATAAATTTTGTAGCATATTGTTGATATTTATTCACCCCTTGCTCTAAGGCATCAGGCTGCTGCCTTAGGAGAGACTGTGTAGAGATAAATTTGAGAATTATGGAAGAAAAAAGGACAACACCCGAAATCTAAGAAAAATTTGAGAGTGCTTACAAAACTTTGTAGATTTGCTAGTATATACTTCATCAATATGCCGCTGAGTGGAATCTTGTCATCTCCTACGAAGAGAGTTTGAGATTTTTGAGAAGTTGAATCTCAGTATCGAAAAAGAAAAAGTGTAACAGATATCAATCGCCAATCTAACATGCATAGAAAACCTTGGTTTTCATAAATATCCTACAAGACTATCAAACTAATTACCTAAAAATCACAACGACCAATAGTCGTCAATTCAAGTTCAATTTTGATGAAAGCGGTGCAACTAGACCTATTAGTATTGAATCCACTGGGTTTTGGCCCAGTCCACAAGTAACCGAAGCTGTTCAGCAGTGCAGTCGAGCCAGAATGGGATACTAACCGTAACAGTATAACGAAAACTACACTTTCCTATTTGTAAGGTCCAACTATATACTCAACGGATTATGACAGGCACACCTTTGGCTCAGATCAGATGAAACAAAGAACTTAATACAGATTCTTCAAAATGTGAAAGACTCGCGTTTGATACAATTTCCTGAGAGTAAGTGGACGAGATATGCAAACTTCATTCTTTCTTGGGAACGATGTCGGTAAGGCCGATGCCGGTCGGCAACTGCACCACGCCCGCTGTTGCCTGCTCGTGCCGTTCCTCCGACCATTTACGGCGAGCATCTCGAGTCCATCGTGGCACAACTCCATCGGCGAGAAGTCGTATCATAACCTAAACATTCGCTCAAGCTTATTGCGATAAGCTTTAGGACCAAGTCAGAGAACAGAAAAACGACAGGACCTGTTCTTGGTTCCTATAGGGATGTTTCCGCCACTCAGCCTCTTTGTGTCCCGGTGTGTTCACGTAGAAAGGCAAAGGCTTAGGCTTTCTCAAAGGATACCTTCCCTCTCCGTAAAAATCGTCCAGATTCAAACGCTGAAACCCTCTTTGTCAATTACGCTTACGATAAATCGACAATGAACTACAGGTCTTTCATACATCGATATCTTCGAGCTCATCCTCTTCTTTCAAGGGTGTGAGTATCGGAGAAGCAACAACTTGTGGAAGGAAGTGTCTTGATGGTGACATCTCTACCACATGTAGCCCTGTAAACAACCGTGATCAGGTTGACAGGTAAAACGGGATGGAGTAGGAGCAAACCAGACATTTTGAGATTCGGATAATTCGGAAAAAGTCTCAAATAATGTTCGGTACTCAGGTATAGAGCTCTGCGTGATCGCAAGAGTCGGCGAATTTGCGGCCATTGCGCACGAAGAATGCCACGAGGCCTCAAACCAGTCGAACTCCCGTACTTTTGGAGATCGTTTCGAATTGGAAGCTAACATCCGATAGCAGAACAGGGTTTGGAAGGAGGAAGATAAGTGAGAAAGCTCGATGCACGTGCAATGGCGGCAAACTTACGGACGGCGATCACGCACACCCCTATAGATAACATATACAATACCGCTAATAGTTTCTGCAGAAAAAAGACGCGACGGTCACCTGGGTCAAGCAACACCGTAGCATCCATATCCTGCTTCAGTGTGGACGAATCTAAATTTAAGGGCACCCTTCGTGAGTCGCACTTTCTGGTGTATAAAGGCACCTATTTGGATACGTTACGCACGCGATAGGCAGCCAGTGAATGTTCGCCAACGGTAATCTAGTCAGTGTGCAGTAACTACCGAGCGCCTATCGTGACCTTAATTAACCTATCGTAAGCAAAATGCGAAAGGATTTGCGAGATCTGGCTGCCTACCGAGCGCCTGCCGTGACCAAATAGCCACTTCTTTGAATCAAAAGATGCGCCTCGTCGACCTGATGGCCCCCTTGGGTCCAGATTTTGTCCTTTCTGAAGCTATATATGGCCACTTACAATGATGTCACTCAATTCAGAAGACAGTCCAGTCCTTTTTGCAGCAATAATGAACGGTGTCCTCTGGCACAAGATTCTTGGCGTATTTCTACTCCGTGTTGAGATAACAGCTATTGAGTGACTGACGAAGAGTGCAAGAAAAGAGTAATGCTAACAAACCTTTTCGTTCTGCTAACTGTTGATGGGTTTCTTGATTCAACAACCCGGTTACAAAAGCATGCGTCAAGGCCAAGTAGTTTTTTGTAGACCCCTCGACCTTTACATAGATGTCCTTGATTCCGATTGCCTATAAACGGACCTAATTTGACTCGAAGGTATGGATGCCGCTAGAAGCGCAGATATACCTCACAAATTTTGATTAGCCTAGGATGACATGTCAGACCAAATCCACGAGGCCGTCGTTGAGCAAACACTCGAGTATTGCGACATTCGGCGTAAAAATCCTAAAGTACATATTTTTTTCACTCTCATGAGATCTCAACAGAGTGATATGTGGAATAACTTGGTCAATGCATACAGTTGCCTAACTCGGAATCAGCCCGAACCGTCCAGGATTTGCGCGCTCGCAGCGCTAGGATTTTGCGCTACATAACGCAGAGTGAACAGATTGGGGAGAGAGCAGACTAACTAGCCGTAAACGGACGCAACACCCTCGCGACACGGACTCCCGGGCAGACTGTATACTAGATGTATTTTCTAATGTGTCGCTGAAGTATGTCAATTATTTGACAAAAAACCTTCTGCCAACCTGGTAGATAGTACGACCCTCGAGAAGATCAACGTAAAACAGCTTCCTAGCGGCCATATTCATGCCATTGACGATGGCCGTTGTAGTCCTGTGAAGAGGGGCCTGAATAGGGACGATATAAAAAAGCAGAACAATTCCGCTAATTCTGGCTCGTAACAACAGAACTAGGTTGACAGAAGATGAATAGATAAATGAAGAAACCTTTCCGACTGCGTATCCAGCGAGTCCTTTGCCATTTCCAGTAACAACGAGGGCAGCCATTGTGTGAACACGCCCAAAAACTCTCGTCATGTTCGATGTTCTTTTGACCTAGTGGGACTTTTTGTTCAGTAGTCGTCATTTCAAAAGCGGATTCACCTCAAGACAATAGGTCTCAAAATCTTTGAATGACATTCCATCAACGGGAGCTGGTGGTCCAAGTTTTTGTCCAACCAACTGTGTACCGCTGAACCCTCTTTCGAGCGGATGTAGTTTCTCCCGAAAGCGCCGCTTGCCGATACTGAATGGTGCTCATACGGAATGAAAAAATAGCCACACAAAATTCTGAGGTTCAACCCAGTAAAAGTTTTATACAAGCTGAAGAGACAAGCTTAGTTGGACGTGAAACCCACTCTTTTTGTTCTTCCAACGTTTTCCGAACCGACAGCTGGCCTTCTTTGATTTCTTCTTCCGTTTGCTCAACAATTTTCGGATCAGGCTCCTTGGTGCTTAACGGAGCATTCAATCCAGGAAACTGCACTTTCATTGGACCTGAAAGGAAATGAAACGTTCTTAGGCATTGTCTCGAGAGTTGCGCTTACTTGATCCTATGCGATAAAACCTATTGAGTGGACGTATTGGCTGTCTAGTGTTCATACGTCCTTTCTTTTGACCAGATTTTGAGACGCTGGTGATCGTTTTCCATAGTTCCCCAGATGTCCCTGAAAAGAAAACTTGATAACAAAAGAGAGCACTGGCAGCTGTTAATGGGATTTTCGTTTTGAAAACTTCCTAAAATGATACACCCTCTTGAAAGACTTTGATAGCGCTCTCTCCGTTGACCGAATTTTTGGCAAAATTGCGGGTTAATTTATAGCGCAGAATCAAGATTCTTTCACAGTTTCTGGATCACTCTACTTCATGGGAAAACAAATGCACATATGCATACCAATCAAGATTTTTGTTGATTCCATCCATCATACTAACTCGGCCTGGCCTTTTCAGATGAGTTTCATATCATCTATGCAACTCGATGCGCTGATTTCAAATCCGCATTCGATAGCTGCTGAACGTTTCACCGAAAAAAGTGTGAGCATTTTTCTTGCGAAATATCCATGCCACGTCGTAGACGACTCCCTATTTTCTTAGTTTCTGATCTGCTCATCTCGTTTTATCATCGTAATTTGAAATCCTTCTTCTTTATAGTCCCTCAATAGCACAGGACAGGCATTTCCACCAAATTTGTTGGTTTTGCTCGTACTGAACCATGAAAAATCCGCAGTAAAAAAGCTCAAGACTTTTCTTGAGAAATGTTCAGCAGCTAGCGAAAATGAAATTATCAGCATCGTACTGCACCGATGGTATGCACTACGTCAAAAAAAAAACAACTAAATCGACTCCGTATCCTTAAGTTACTAAGGACTTGATTTGTAAGTTTATCTGAGATCGAACCAATTCATGACAACAACGTAAGATCCCTACGTCTCATAAAGAAGTTGACAGTGTTGCTCCGGATTTGTGTGAAAGGTAGCAGCGAAGCCATTACTGCTGTAATTATTCTTTCAACTTTAGAAACAATCAACAGGAGATATAGTTTTTCCTCGCAGTGACAAGTGATGCTACAAAAAGTTCATGGTGTGATTTTTATAAGTTCGACTTACCACTATAACAACCACAAATGTACCATAACCGTAAAAGACACCTTTCGGAGTTTCTGAACATGGGGCAAAAACAACAAATATATTAAGGTTCTAAAATATCACAGCAGCTTATCAGAGAAGACAAGTAAAGGTCCACAGCTGTAAAAAGAGGACTGAACTATGCAAAACTAGTCCAACGAAAGTGTACTAAACTCCATCGCTTTTCGAGAACGGATATTCGACAATCTCATCGACTATGATATGAGGCATTCAATCAAGCATCTAGTTAATCATAACAAAGCGGCAATAAGGCAGTAAAACACGTAAACGAATTGGTGCTGGTCACACTTGGATTCCATAAGAAAACCTAGCCAGGCTTCTAAAAAATCGAATACTTTGTACCCCAAAAAATACAAGAATGCCGAGTAAACAATGTACAAGTCTCATGATGAGGAATTGGAATGAAAGAAGTTCAAAATGGCATCCTTAGAATAGAAATTATTGACTCAAGGCATGTTTTGTTGCCGTCTCCACCTTGCGAAAAGGATCAATGGAATTCCAGCGCAGATAGCCATAGCAAACATGTCCCAGTTTGGTCCAAGGTACTGTTCCAGAAGTTGAATGACAGGGTTCTAGAAGAAAATCATGAAAAGCAACGAAGAAAATTTATAATCAAAGATAGTAACCTTATTAATCCGCTCCAATAAAAACAAAATTGCCAGCTTTGCAAGTGCTAACGCGACTGGAACAGCTGCATCAGAACTTTGCTCCGCAGCCATATCATAGAAGCGTTTTGCTAAGTGGAGATCCTGAAAGTGACCAAATAATAGAAGCTGACATGAGCGCGATTTAGCAAAATGACGGTACAAGATGTGAACTTACCCTAGTGATTCCAAGTCCCTGCTCATGCATCAGACCTAGATTGAACATTGCTTGTGCAGTCGCATGGCGCTCCACTGCCAATTTATAATGTTGAGCAGCCTGCAGTAAGTATTTTGAGAATCCTAGGGAAATTCAACGAAACATCCGTACCTGTTCGTAATCTGCAGGAGTGCCCCAACCATAATAATGATAATCTCCTAGTTTGATTCTGGCTAAAGGATATTCTTGATTGGCAGCCCGCTGCCATTGTACTATGGCTCTCTCAAGCACATTTTCTTTAGAGGATGGGAAGAGCGAATCAGCCTCGCCTGAATTGAAGATCAACCTGGTCAAACGAAGAGCACCGAACAATTCAAATGGAAACCGGCTCACCTCTATCTAAGATATACGCAATGTTGGTTTGTGCCGGCTCATAACCTAACTCAGCAAGAAAGAGGTATTTTATAGCAGCTTCGTCTCTTCGCCCTTCCTGTTGTACGAAAATATGAGTAAGACTTGTAAGAATGTAATCTCTGTTAACTCTTGGTACAGTTTACGAAGGCCATAAAGAAATTGAAATTCTTGCAAGAAAAGTTTTTAAAAGATAAGTAATGTAAGATGTAGAACGTACCTTGTAAGAAGTGTAGGCTTCCATAAGCTTTTCGCTCCACCGGCCCCGTTCAGCTACATTTTTGTAGAACTCAACAGCAGTTGTGCAGGATCTCAGCACACCAATGCCTAAGATGAATAAGATAAACGAAATTAAAAGTGATCCCAGTTTGAGGGTATCAAAAATAGTATCGCTGTAAGGAGGATAAATATCACCACTAGAAGCACCTACCGGAAGAGTGCATGCGTGCGAGATTATATGAAGCTAAAACATGGCCATTTTGCGTAGCCATTTGATAATACTTCAATGCAGCTTTGAAATCCTTTTTTACACCAAGACCATCTAGAATAAGTACATCATAGAGGACAATGACCGAGAATGAAACGTAAAACATACTGAAGAACATGTCTCCTAGGTACAATTGCGCATCAACCCAGCCCTGCTCAGCAGCAAGCGAGAACAAGCGATATGCCTTTTCGTAATCTCGACGAACACCTCTTCCTTGCATGTACATCACTCCCAGCCCAGCTTGACCATTGTGATTTCCCTAAAACACTTGCTTCAAAAACATGATCATTATATAAGCGTAAAAAATGACCTTATCGGCGCTGCGCAAGAAGAAATTGAACGCCGTAGTGTTGTCCTGTGGAGTAACATGCGTACCATCAAGGTACATCTTGCCAAGGAAAGCAAAGGCACCTGCATGCCCAGCTTCAGCGGCAGATGAGAAGTACCTAACATTAGGCAACTTTCAAATGAGAACACCCAAAACAATTAAAAACGAGTCGACATACTTGTTGGCCAACTCAAAATTCTGTTCGACACCTCGCCCACCAGTCAGGTAGAGCTGTCCAAGCCCGACCTGTAAAGGGTTGAAAATCAAAGCCGCATCACGCTAGAAAAGCCAATGGAGGATGAAAAAAGGAGGAAGATAGTATGTATCCTGCTAGTAGAGCCAACAAAAGATAAAACGGATAAGATATGTAATCGTATAGTAAAAGAAATATAATATAACATAGAAATCACCTGCGCTGAGACATCACCCTTTTCAGCTAAAAAGCGGTAGTACTCTATGAGGTTCTGGTCCATGGGCGTCGTGACTGCATTCGTCGATGATGGCTCCTGAATGTAACCTTCACTTGAGAAGAAAAAAAAACAGTGATTAAATAGCACCATCTCATCAGTAAGTCGTATTCGTTGGATAGCAAGCCCAGTGGAAAACTTGAATCCTTCCGCTACTTTATCCGCTGCCTTTTCGTAGTATGACAGAGCGTTCTCGCAGTTCTGAGGAACCGCGATTCCTGCGTAGTAACGGTATCCCTGAAAACAAGTATCAATTTGCGGAACCGATAAAATTAGAGAACTGAGAACATCCAAAAGATAGTGTTACCCACAGCCGAAAATCCTTTAGAGCCTAAGCATAAATTCAGGGAAACAGACAGAAACTCACCATAGCCATCTGCGCAAGAGGATTTCCACCAAGAGCTGAGAACATGTAGTAGACGAGGGCTTTTGCTTGATTGGACTTCGATACTCCCAAACCAGTAGCATGCATGAAGGCGAGTCCTGAATTTAACTCTTAGCACCCAAGCAAAAAATGAAAGCCTGAGTATACCAAGTTGGGCATCTGGCGATCCACTTTCAGCAAGTTCTTCGAATATTTTCTTCGCTTCATCAATGGACCAGCGAGCGCGATCACCAAACAAATGAGCGTAGCCTAAACGAATGATTATAAAGAGACGAAAGAACATGAGAAACAGCGAATTTACCCATCAGTTTCAAAGAATCGGTGTGCCCAGCTTGCGCTGCTTGGTCAAGTAGTCGATAAGCAGCTTTTCGCCCTTCGATACCATGACCTCGTCCACGTTCTAGGAACTTCAAGGCTTGTTGATAAACGGCTTCGGCATGCTCATCGCTGAAACACCTAATCTAACGTGAGAGTCGATACATGGCTGTGCTTTCGCTGCCAAGGCGGGATGTATGACTGCAGAGCAGATCCATTTTGTATTTTCACATTCAAGATGCCTGTGAGTTTATTGCAAATAACTATATCTAACAAGCGATAAGCGATGGATGAGAATAGATAAAAGAGACTGCAAATTGATAGCGACGTGACTGTCGTGAACCGGTCAGTACCTATTAACACTGCTTAGATCTGATTTATGGAAGGGATGCTTTAGATCGTAAATGGTCACGCCTTGGGCAGAGTTCACCCGATTTCATCGCCGCGATTCTTCCAACAAAACAAACAGTTAGGAGTTTTTCGGTTGTGATAGCTCTCAACACGACTAGTTGTGACTAACTATCACAACCGAGATGCAAGATGATCGGGATGCAATAGAGTGTTTGTCTTGTTGGAAGAATTGCAGCGATGAAATCGCGTGAATTCTGCCGAGACCTTACTCGAGGGCTTGCCAGTGTTTTAAAGAGAACTTGATTCCGAGAAAAAGCACCTAGCTGAGCCGGAGCTCTGAAAAAAAGGACATGTAATCTAAATCAGTCTGACATGTTGAGTTGAGATATGCTGTTCTTAGGCTGGGTTCATACTGAGCCGCACAAAGCGGCACAGTTCCCGCACAGCGCTCGAACTGTGCTCGAAGCTGGGACTGTGCCGGTTTGTGCGGCTCAGTATGAACCCAGCCTTAGCTGCGAAGCATTAAAATCCAAGAAAGTGACAGGCATTTTTCTGCGCAAATTTGCACAATTACATATCGATGTTACAATAACGACTAGGTAAGTATGCAATTGTTTAATGCTCGCTATCAACAACAGAAGAGTTGATCTTATGTTATTTCGACACTAATATTTTTTTGGAGTCCATCTATATATGTAGGCCATCCTACCATTTCCAGTAGTGTCAATCAAAATGACAGCGAGCTCGAGACACTCTAAGCGGAAAAACGCTCAGCAGCTATGCATACTTGAAATCAGCGTTTCAAAATAATTATAAAGATATACATATCGCCTTTCAAAAGGCCAGACTACTAGGTGCCTTCCCTGCGGGTTGTAACCAGCGAAGATAATTCCAAGTATATATGATTTTGCAGATGAAGGCGAATATATGAATACGTTTCGAAACAACAAACCTACCTTTTCAACAGACTAAATGAAGGTACGAGAAGAAATCGAAGGATAATGAAGAAAACGCAATAAAACAATGTGAAGCATACACTCACGCTTGTGGGGAAGGCTTCTCAGGCATGTATTCGTCACCTGGCGTGAGCACTGGTGGCGCAGTTGGAGATCCCTCTCCATCGTAGTGTTCGATGTCGTCGTGAGATATAGACAAGTCAGCTTGAAACGGTCTATTAAGTCAAAGAAGTGGTGAAAAAGGTTATCTGAAAGCATTCTAACATTACCTATCGTAGTCCTAGTAGTTGTTTCTGATGTCTTCACCTCTGACTCGCTATTAAGGGCTACCACTTTTCGTTCACGCTGATGCTGCTGTTGTTCGCGCTGTTGCCGTTGACCATCAGCGCCTGCCTGTGCCAACGTGTGCTTGGTCGAAATTGTTAATATCCCCAACACTACCAGTTGGTTTAACCGCATACCTACAAATTACAAGGTAAATTTCATTCGAAGTCGGAGGTAGTGATGAAATAGACGAAGTAAACAGAATAGACAAACATAAAACATGCACAAGCCTTCAAAACCCTCCCTCGCACAAACTTGACGCTCCTTTGGCAAGCTGCCAAAACGACGCGCTACTGTTGGACGTGAATTTGCAGACGCTAAGAGGAGGTCGCAGCAAGCTGTTCTGAGACGACCGGTAACCACACGGCGCTGAAACGGCTGGATTCGCCTTGGAGCGCGGCTGTCGAGCGGGGCGCGTAATTGGCATGGAACTTGACTTTTTAGCGTTTGACGAAAAATGATTCAAAGGTTTTTTTTGACTCAAGTGGTTCTTTTTCGCATGTTTACTTACAAGAGTCCGCTCCGGTTAAGTGCACATATAAGTACTTATTTTGCGATAATTTCCGCAGTGAAGGTCCTCCCAACTGAGGCTAGATGCATATACTCACTACAGAAACGGGAATTGGTTGTTGCAGAAAGGTGAACCAAATGTAGGTATTGATATTTGGAACGTATAACACATAACCAACATCTCTTCCATAGCTTGCAACAACTAGGCGAAAGTGAAGAAGCAGAACAAAAGAGCGATTATACGGAAGTGGTGCATGAGATGTGGTCGTTATGATTAGCAAGACAGCAATTCCTGGATACTGGATCAATATAAGCTTGCAAGATAAAAGAGAAGGTAGACTGAAATTAGTTCTCCTAATGGCACTCTTGTTCTTGCACATGTTGTCATGAGCTCCAATGTTGCTTTGAAGTACGCTGGCTTATTCACTGTTTGATTTGTGCATCAGAGAGGTTCTTGTAGGTACCGTCAACGTGACTGCCTTTCGATCGTTTTGACACGTTAACTACAGCAAATTGAAGGCGCTTACTCGAAGCTGACACGTTGAAACGATCGAAAGGCAGCCACGTTGATGGTACTGGGAACCTCCTTCGAGCACAAACGATGCGTGAGTCTGATCGCAGTAACACTTTCCACTACAGCTTTCAACTTGGGTCGAGTCTTATTTGTTGGACTCATCAAGATTTCTTCGTTACTTTTGATCTGAAGATCAAATAGAGTTTCCATTGAGTTCATCCCTTCCCAGAAAATGTAGAATTCTTTGCATCTCTGGCCGCATACTTGACTCCACCCTTTCCTTCGATACGCTATAGCAAAGTCAATATTCCATCACTAAACAAAATTCCCCTGTCCATGTCCCACTCCCGTGTGTTAGATTCCCTTCCCCATTATGTTTTCTTGTTCAGCATACATACTTATCCATCTGCACCAACTCCACCCGTGGCTCAGACTCAAAAATCAAAATAGTTATTGAGCGATAACAACAAGTAGGCTAACATACCCTCCCCACCCAAAATGCTGTGAGCATGGTTTGGTCCAGATCTTATTTGTCCAAATTGAAATCAGGTGAGGAAATCCGCTCTAATCACAATCCGCGCTCCATGGCGAATCCAGCCGTTTCAGCGCCGTGCCGTTACCGGTCGTCCTGTTCTGATACTCAAGGTGAGCAGTAGCTCCTCACATCTTATACTAAAAATACATACTTATAAAGGGAACCTAATTCAAGTAGAGTTCATTGAGTTCGAAACTGAATAAGGCCCCAGCTAGACTCAAAAGCGCACAAAAGCGCCCAAATTCTTCTAATCGCTCTTCACTTTCTCGTTGTAAGGGGAGACTGGGAAAGCGAAGAGGGGTTAGAGAAATTTGGGCGCTTTTGGGCACTTTTGAATGCTTTTGGGCGCTTTTGAGCACTTTTTAGCGGAGTCTGGCGGCCAGACTCTGGCCGGTTCAAAACTGTCGGGTTCTCAACCTCAAAATCCTTTTATCTATCTAATATATAAAGAATCGTTAACTCAGTTCAAAAATATGCAAATAGCGGGAAACCGCGTGGCGGTCCCGAAGCGAACTCTCCTCCAAATAGCACTTTTAGATTACTGGTTCACTAGTTCCCATATTCTTACAGTCAAACGTTATAGGGCTCCAAAATACGAGGAACTATAATATAAATCATCCGGAAGCAACCGGAGAACTCTTTTCGAGGGCATACAGTTGGGCCAAATTTTCTTACGTAAATTTCTTGGTTCTGATATCCGAACTTCACTACTCAGACAGTTGGAGCGGGCAGCGCGCGCGCAGTCACACGGTGGCGCAATACCCAGTGCGCGGGTGGCGGAACATTGGACGCCGCGCCGCTGGTGCTGGCCCGCGGATGGCTGCATTTTTTCAGTTTTTCATTGCGCTGTATACCACAGGTCTTGATAATAAATTCCCTCCTTCATCGCCAAATAAATATGAATTCGTATTTGAATCCAAAAATTCAGATCCAGCATCCATTTGCAATGCTACCGAAGGCTAACGCTTGGAAGCAAGAAATAACTTCCACTTCTGCGCCTATTCATACACTACGATGTAATATCTAACCTCTTGAATGATGAGGCAGCCTGACCACTGCGTCGTACACTGCGCGGGTATCCCTTGTGCTTACAACATGTGATAATTGCAGGCGCGCGGGCCGCACGGGTAGAGTATAAAGGCACGCGCGCGGCGTGCTACAAAATTAGGCGCGCGGGTGGCGAGATCGAACATAGACGTAGCGCGCGGGTCGCGGTGTTGGCCATTAATACGCGCGCCGCACGCACCAAATGTCTAGGATGGCACGCGTTTGGCGTAGTGCCGGACACGCCCACAAATAAGGCACGCGCTTTGCCGCATTGACCATAAACTCGCGTGCGCCGCACGCTCCAACTATCTGAGTACACTGTCTTCAGACATTTTCGCGCAGAAGGTTGGAGGAACATCATTAACCTTATAGAGGATCATTCGTAAGAGCTCTCCAGAGCTCTTGAATTGTTCAAAGCCTATACTTTTGAATGTGTAAACACATAATCGAAGTTGCATCTAAATTAGTGGTGGAATAGTTCTTTGAAAGCTCCAAATTTGTTCCACTTGTTAGAAGAAAATGGGAAGTCTAGAGTTGCACAAGTGTCGTACAATCAAGTTCTCTTTTTTCTTCGAAATCCTCACTTACAGATTTTGTTTGGAGGTAGAAATTTTGCAGAGCATCAATTCTATCCAAAGTCTCAAAGACATCCCTTTAGTTCTCAGCACTTCATAAATGCCTAGCCGCTCCTTTTCGGGCGGCGTGGCAGGAGTTCCCAAAGCCTAGCCGCTTTTCCTCGCAGGGGTACTTGGCACCTCTAAAAATCCCTTGAAGGACATCACACCTTCTCGGGTCAAAGAGCGGCTCCGCCCATTGCTCCTCCCTTTGGGTGCCCTCATTCTGAATTGTGTACAAGCAGTGTAAGACGTGGTTCAATGTTTTTGAGGACAAAAGACCTGAATTCGAGACAAAAACTTTGATACTTTCTATAAAATTTTAGAATCCGTAGATGACTGCAGCTGAATCTCCAGCATTTTGAGCTAATGTTTCTCATGTTTTTATATATAAGATGAAGCTTCCCTAGGAACTCAAGTGCTTGCGCTTGACTAAGTTTCTGATGCATATCGTATTGGTATAAATCAAGCAGAAGTTATGTCAGAAGTTCAGAAGTTAGTCAATTTCAGTCAGAAGTTTAGAAGTTAGTCAATTTCATGCAAGTTCTAAAATTCATCCATGAATGTAGCGAATTAGAATACCTTGCATATTTAGTGTGTTTGGAACTCTTAGCCAACTCTTCATTCACACATGCGACGGAAGTTTGGTATTTCAATACATCGATTGTGAGACTTTCTACACTGGAAATTTCTTTTTGATAATTTGGATGTTATTGTAGAGTAACTGGGATGAAAAACTCATTCAAATATTTGAGGGCAGACGAAAGTAGGAAAACATTTGTGTCCAAATATCCTAACTACTGGAGAATGCATCAAGTTGGCTTTTCCAAAACTTGATAAACTCCTTTCAAGATAGGTGGTCTTTCAATGTTGAGAAGGTAATCGGAGTCTTAACCACGTCTGTTCACTCAGTCATTCAAAACTGCCAATGCTGAGTTACTTCAAACAGATGAGATGACCATTGATTTACAGATGACCAGTGATTTACAAACAATCGAACAGATTCGAATATTTCAAATTAGATTCGAACAGATTCGAATATTTCAAAGTAGACCGGTTTTCTACTCAAAAATCCTGTGGAACTTATTTACTCTGAGAGTGATGGCGTAGCAGAAGCTTCACTTGAAAAATATTAACTATGTTCTTTGCTTTTCTCCATTTTTCCTCCCTTAATACCTTAATACCTGAATCTAGGTTCTCGATGCTTGCACACCTCACAATGAGACCAGTAAATGGGTGGAGCAAAGGGCGGGGCCTGACCTCTGAGGCGCGGAGGTGCTAGAACCCTTCTGGGTGCGAATGCTGGTGCGAACTTGGTGCGAAGAAAAGTGCTAGGAACTCCTGCACGCCCTCCTCCTTTTCGGTTCTACCAACAATTTGATTTTGTGCTGTCATATGAAGTGCTAACTAGGATTTACATACATTTTGCCTGGAGGTACGTCTATGCCATAGAATCTGGTAAACATACGGGCTCAGACATTCGCGGTTGTCACCCGCAGGTTAAAATGATGTGATCTCATTGACCAACGGCGCGTCACACGAAATCGGTGTCGGGGCAAAATCAGGTCACCTGTGTTTGCAGCGGGGTGACCTGCGGGAGACACCATAATGCCCCGACAGGGCATTTTCCGGTCATTATCGGAGTGACCTGCGGGAGACACCATAATGCCCCGATCCTTGAAGCAGTAGTTCACCCTCGTAGGTACGTATATAGTGGCATATATATTATATTAATATATATAATTCATGTGTATATATATAAAGTATATATATAAGTATATATATAGTAAGTATATATATATATATAATGGAACACACAAGTATAGAGTATATACTCTATACTTATGTGTTTTACTTCTACCGTGCTGTCTTCTTTCACTGTCACTAACAAATCAAGCTATAGTATTTATCAACCACTTCATGGTACAAAAAAATCTACATCAGCGCAAAATTAAATAAACTACATCGAGAGAACACTTGACAAAAAACAACTGGAATTGGACTAATGTGTGTCGTTCGCATCCGTTACTGCAATATCGGCGTCCGTTTTTTTGATGATGTTCAAGTCAGTGCTCACGTTAGATGTCCTGGGGCGGTTCTTCTGAAAAACATCAGCATCAGATGCGTAAACTTTTTGGGACGAAAGTTTTACCTTTGACGCCTTTGTCGTATTCTTATACAGATTGTAGAAGTTCTTTGTCCGGTAGGCCAAAAGCGTCCAATACAAACCCTGAATAAATTATTCGACTTGATGTACAAAATGACGGAAGCAACCTACTTATTAGTAAATCCACAGTGCATTCCGGGAGATGCTTGAGGTTGTCATCTTTTCCTTTTTTGCCAGTTTGCCTACATGCATACTTTTGAATTCCTCTGCCGGTTCACAAGCCCAAATAATTATGTGTAAGGCAAGAATTCCTTCAGCAGTGATCGCTTGCATTGACGAAATAGTGCCTAAGAAAATCAGAAACATGATGAAAATGCAGAAAATGATCATGTTTATGGGCGCAAGCCGATTTCTTTCATTTTTCTAAGACTTCGGTCAAATTCAGCTCAAAAAATACGATGCCTTTCGTTCATTCATTTCATATTCAAAAACCTCAATCGGGCTGAGTTTTAGAGCAGACTTTCTTTTTTCGGTTAGATAGACAAGAGCAATTGTGGGACTATGATTGAGCGAGTTAGAAGGCCGAATATCATTTTTTCCGTGTTTGAAAGATGGATTTTGACAATTGCGATTTCTTCTTTTCGGCGTGGATTGCTGCCTCATCATGCCAAAATTCAAACAGCTTCTGATACTCGTTAATTTCGAGAAATTGCGATTTTCGGGCTACAGCGACTGGTTAATAAAAATTTGAGCTAGATCGCTTTTACACAAGGAACGAAGTCAGAAAGGACCACAATGGAACAAAAGAATATGGAGAAGACGACTGTCATCGAAACATGTATAAAATAGAGCAAAGAATGGATTTTTGGCAGCCCATCAAACTTTATGTGAGCCATATTTGAACAAGCAGTATTTCGCCTTCTAACTCGCCCATTCTTGACCCCATGAATTCTCTTTCTGGTCTATCTGCGAGAAAAAAGGCCCCTCTTCCAAGTACCACTAGACTTGCCAAAAAGTGACCTAAGAGCGAGAGAAAGACGGACGAAACTCCGCAAAAAACCATTGCATGCGTTGTGGAAATTTCTCTGAAGAGAATAAATTCTTTGATCAAGGCCGGAAGCCAGAGCCATAGCTGGTCATTTGACCAGCTATGGCTTTGCAGACGGGAATTCAAAGATCTGATGGGGTACCAAACGTGCATTTTACACCCAAATTTAGTTCTTTGTTTCCTGCGTGAAAATAAATTTAAGTAAAAATTTTTTTTACACAGCAGCAGTCCATATACGGCTGCAGCCGGTCTTATTTCTGTGAAACTGCGAAAACAAGTTATGGAAAAGCCCATTCTGCAGGAAAAATTTTCTTATAAAAACACATTTTTCGAACTATGACAATACTTCGGGCGCTAAACTGTTTTTTTTGCTGGAAAAGTATGGTGTCATAAGGATTTTCTCGTACGTTTTCACAAATATTTGTTCTGTACGTTTCAGCTTGAAGCTACCCACAATAAGTAATGGATAGTATAAGTTACGTGTTTTGACAGCTTTTAGCTAGCTAGCGACGCCTCAATGGTTTCTTGAACCCGACACAAGATTACGAAATTTCAAGTTTGTTTAAAGCTTGTAGTTGGCTTGAAACTTAAACTATCAGGTTTGTGGCTAACAATTTGAGTCTAAGGTCAAAAAATTGCACTCCGCAAATTTGCTGGGTTGGAAGGAGTCCTGAAGTAACCTAATGAATTGAGAATAACATGCTTACCTTCGATCTACAACCCGAGCGCAGAGATTGTAAGTGAAGTTACCATTTTGGACGCGCGATCTCATCTGAACTGACAAACCGTCAAAATATCCTACGGAAATGGCGACCTCACTTTTATTGTAATATGTGCTGGTAAAATTGAGGAAAAATAGTAAGCGAAATTGAATCAAAAGGCATCATTAAGTATGATTAAGATAGAGTAGGTCTGGTATAATGACAAGTTTATGCTATAAAAGGTCACAAATGATCCCAGAGAGCGATTATGAGCGATGTACAGGGCTTTACAACCTGAGTGTCCCACCCGCCCCGCTAGGACGCCACGCTTAGGTCCGCGCAGCGTTCGTGGCGCTGGCTGCGCGTCGAATGAAGCTTGGCGAAATCCGGGCGATACGCAGCAAACCTGAGCGAGGCGGCCGCGTTGGAGGAGTCTCAAGTCTTTCACTCTTTCTTATACAGGGCTTTTCAACCTGAGAGTCGCAAGCGAAACTTGCGACTATCAGGTTGAAAAGCCCTGTATAAGAAAGAGTGAAAGCAAAAACATCGAAGAAAAAGGCACCAATCAACAAAAAGCAAACACCAAGAGAAGACGACTATTTCGCAACATCACTATCATACACGCATGCGGCGTGCATCGGGGCAAAATCGCAGTAAAATCCGGTCAAAACTAAATTCGTGTCTCCCGACGGTGCACCGGGTTTTGGTGCGATCAGCCATTTTGTGGGCGGTCCACCTGCGGGTGACAACGGCGAATGTCTGAGATCTTCGCCGTTTTCAAGCTTTCAATGGATTTTCGGGATGTATAACCCCAGGTAAGCGCAAATTTGACTAGGTTGAGATTTGCCGAGCCACTGCCTTCAAGCAAATGCAAATAATAAGCGAAATTGAATCAAAAGCAGCTGGAGTCTAATTCAGGATTTTATCCAGATATCGCAGACTCGTATCAAGACGTTCATGGATGACGATTGCCCGAAACCGCAACGAATGACCAAAGTTAGGGCCCGCACAACCAGTGAGGACGGGCCATCTAACAAGGGAGGTCCAACTGGTCGAAGTGGCCTTTCCCAATGATTTTTACATACTTTGAAGCGCATCAAACGCCGATTTTAAATCTGATTTCTTTACCTGCCGAGCGCCTCTGCATGCCGAGTTATGAATATTTTTTTGGTGCGAAAAATAAACGCATAATATAGGTAGAATCAGATTTGACAGCTTTTCCAGCGCTTAAATAAAAAGTTTTAAGTATGAGTGCCTTGAGCAGAAGGTATTGTTCAAGTGGAGTGCTCCGATAATCAATATTGGACCATTTAAGCATTTCTGATGAATTTTGTGCTAATAATGCATTCAATTTTTTAACTCAAAAAACGCTTGTAACTCGACGTCCAGAGGCGCTCGATAGATAACGAAGACAGATTTGGAATCAGCGTTCGATGCTTTTTATAGTCATATCAATTTCATGTGGAAAGGCCACTTCGACCAAATAGACCTCCCTTGTAAGTAATCTAAATAAGTAAGTGTTTGAGAAGGTCACGGTTTACGCAATACTCTCGCAGAGCTATCATATGAACGTGGAATTGCGAAAGCATTAGTGTTCCACGTATTGAATTTACACGTCGACAGTAAAGATTACGCGAAGCAAATGCTTTTACTAAAATGACACCTTCACTAGAAAGTCATGGCACCGGAATGCACTCATGTGTTGAATCTAAGCGGAATCTAAATTGAGCAGTTGCAGTGCTATTTCCAGTGCCAGAGAAAGATCACAGCAAACTCTGAGAGGCTAATTTCCATCAATATTGACTAATACTGTTATGCATATAAATCGTCAGTCGCCAGCCGCCATATAAGTCACAGCACAGAACGTTTAAAGGCTTCATCTCAAATTTTTCTGCTGTTGTCGGTTTTTTAGCAGATAGTTCCAGGCAACCGTTTACGTCAGAAAGAATGCTTGCATGGAAGTTTTTCGTTGTGGTAGGTCCATAGCATTTGAGTATCGGTACTATAATGCTTGCATACCTTTAGTCTCTGTTGGCTACCGCGACCAATGCCATCCCGCAACTGCTTTTCCCTACATTATGGTTAGGAGACTTTCGTCTTTAAAGCTCCGCCAACGGCTGACATCACTGTTTCTCAACACCCTGACTCTCCGCTAAATATTCCAATGAGCTTGATCATTGATAGAAAACGTGCTCAATTATCTTTGAGCACTAATCAATAAATAACTAACTAACAGCACATTGTCAGTCTCACAAATACGCAGGATCATGAAAATGACTGTCAAGTGTGAAAAATATCCTAATTTGTGGAAGCACCTGATATGAAAATCGGCACTATTGCACAACGTCTAACACCTTATCTGCAATGAATGAAACAGTTGTTATTGTGTGAGTGAAGAAATTAAGCACTTCTCACCATGCAGTTTGAGTTCGATCGTGAAGTTTGAAATCCAGGAACATCAAAACTTCAAGATTTGGAAAGCAGGCAACTAGCGTCTCTCCTATTATCAAACAACAGGAATTACGTGTGAGTGTTGTCGGCAGGAGGACACTTTGCTGGTCACTTCCAAAACTTCGCGTGCACTCTGAGCGAATTTATCAAAGTACCTTGACCTGGAGCTACCTCGGCCAGTACGGTAATAAAGTTAAAGATTCAGAGTGTGCTCTCGTCTTGGGTATATGAGATTTCTTACCATGACAACACTTTTCAAACTGATCCATTACAGCGCTTATCCTTTGAACCCAGAATGACATGATCTGCCAAGAATACTGCCTGAGAAGGCTCGCATGTTTCAGGACGGGAAGCTCGATCAATGTATGTTTCAAGAGATGCAGCGCAAATTCAGATTCAGCCTTGAACAACCCAGGCCATTCTCAACGAAAAATTCATATACCTAAATGGAAGTTTATTGATTACCTGTACCCTTTTTTGTAAATAATTTTTAGTAGCCGGCACAGTCGCCTCCGTCCGGCCCTGTCAATGTACTGCATATAATAGAGATCACCATTCTTTTTTTGTGTACACCACCGACCTTTCATTTCTATATGCTAATTCCCCGCCCCCATTATGCTTTCGTAATCAACATGCGCACTTAACTCTCCTGTGCCAGCTCCCACCCCCCGTAGCTCGTACTCTTCAAATCGATAGAATCGAAACTCGCCCCGCCCTGAAGTGAATGTGTGCAGAATTTGGCCCAGATCGGTTCAGGGATAGATCTGTTCGGAGCATAGGTACGTACAGAACACATATACACGAATAGATAGACAGACAGACATTTAGCTTAGTTCATATTTCTTCTACTTATCATAACTTTTGATCACGCGTTTTTAGCTTTTGTCTGGCTGACTGACTCAAGTCCAACTCCGCTGCTGAAATCTGAACTTGTTATGTGCACCATGGCTTGTTGCGAGTTGAATTCGATGCCATTCTAATGTAGATGAATAGAACGTATTGTGAAGTGTACCTGTCATCGAGAAGCGTGCGCATATACAGAGTGTCCCAAAAAGATGTGCACAGACGTCCTGATTTCACTACCTAACTTTTCACCAGTTTTTCGAGCTTCCTTGACGGCGTATTCACATTTACGTTGGAAAAATAGCTGTCAGTTTGTATCTGAAATAACTTATGAAAAAGAACTATACTGAAGTGTAAGTTTCATATTTAGAGTCAGCGACTTCGATTAGCCCCTTCAAGAGTTTCTGCCTTGCTTGTCTTTCTGAGGCAAAATAACGGCAAGATACCGCTTTCAATGGCTTAAAATTCTACACGAAGTTCCTACCGTAATCCTACGGTGATGAAAAGCAATTGATATATCGCTCCATACTGTAAATCTAAGTTGTACCCCGCTCTACAGAATGTTACCTCAAGCTCGGCAAAAGACATGAAAGCAAGAGAGTTATTGACGATCAAAAAGTGTGCACATCTTTTGGGACACCCTGTACATTTTTCGGCGACGAATTCGAAACGCACAAGCGTACCCTGATCGGCGACGCGGCAGCAACCGCAGTTTTCTCCGCCGAGCACGACAGCGAGCACGAACTTTGCTTTTTAACGCTTTTTGAAGTTTCAGATGTCGATCTTAGTACGCTTGTGTTTTCCGAATTCGTTTTCGACAAGGGTTTCCGAACTCGATCAGCATCAAGTACTATTGTCACAGAGTGGAATCACACTTTGTAATTCACAATTCACTTAAATTACAGCTCTAAATCTTGTTGCTCTCTTTTTTTGCACTGATAAGCTGATATCTTTATCTTTATCTTTTAATCATACTCAACGGTTATACATGTTAGTGATAAAAACCGTGATGATTTTGTCTGAAGCTTCTGTTAATAAGTATGTTGTCACATACGCGCGTTCTAGTCGCCTCCATTGGCTAGAATCCATGACTTTTTCTTGCCATTTACAAGCAGAGGAAACATTACAGTGCTTTCGTATGTCGTCTTCCCGTCTAGTTCTTGGTCTGCCATCTCCAAAGCGTCGTCCAACAGATGGTATCCAGCGCGTGAGAATCCTTGTCCATCTTTCTTCGCCTTGCATTCTATAAATTTTCCCAGCAAATCGCCACTTCCTTTGCCGTGCCGCTGCTACCACATCCTTCAGCTTTGTTATAGAACGAATCCATGTTGAAGATTTGTGATCTTTCAGCCGAAATCCTAGCATCAGCCTTTCCATTGCTCTCTGGCATCGCAGTAGTTTTAGCATCGACTTTCTAGTGGTTGACCACGTCTCACAGCCATACAGAAGTGTAGGAAGGATGATTTTGTTGAAGTAGTGTCGTTTTAGATGAACAGCTACGCTTCTGTTGGTAAGAAATCTCCGCATCTTGCCAAAAGCGTTCCATGCCATTCCAATGCGCCTGGATATTTCTTTATCGTGATCACGTGGGCACTGCAGTAGCTGACCGAGATAGATAAAGGAGTCTACGCGTTCGATGGTGTTGCGGTTATTGTGATTGTTGAACTCCTCCAAATGCGATCTCTGTCCTCACCCATCCATTTGGTTTTCTTTTCATTCATTTGAAGTCCAACTTGCTGACAAGCTTTGAGAATTTTCACGGCCATTGACTGTAATCGACTCGGGCAGCGAGCTATAAGCACAACGTCATCCGCAGATGCAAGATAGCGCAGTTGCTTTCCAAAGATATCATAGCCGTCTCCATATTCCCAGTAGACAGAATCTATTGCGAACTGAAGACACGTGATGAAGATAACTGGCGATAAAGCATCCCCTTGGCGAACTCCCCTCTGTACTTTGAACGGAGCATTGGCTTTATCAGATTGAAGCGAGGCCGTAGCTGCTTGATACAGGAGTTGTATCATCGTTATTGTATCGGTATCAACTCTGTAGTGAGCAAGAGCTCTCCAAATTGAGTTGAACTCAATGGTATCAAATGCCTTCTGAAAGTCAAGAAAAAGGAATGCGATGGATAGGTGATATTCATGCGTTTTTGCAATAAGTTGATTGATAGCTTGTAAATGGTCAGTAGTTGAGAAACGTTGACGAAACCCAGCTTGCTCAACAGATAGGTATTTGTATGTAGTATAGGTACACTTTTTCTTCGACTCGACATGCCAATGCTCTCGTCAGAACTTTGTAGATTGTGGGTAAAAGGGAGATCGGTCGTTAGTTCTTGATATCGTAGCGGTCACCGCTTTTGTGGAGGAGAATCAGGGTGGCATGGGCGAAGTCGGCAGGGATGTGGTTGTCTTCGAACATTCGGTTGATGATGTTTGCAAGTTGGGGTGCAACAACTTCTACACCATACTTTGCAGCAATAGAGCGAATACCATCAACTCCTGGAACAGTGTTTCCTTTAATCTTTGAAGCCGTTCTCAGTTCATCGGCGCTGATAGGATGAGTGATAGGTCGGTGACTGTGGAATGGAACGGTAATCTCGCGGGCCGTGTAAAGCTCAGCGAAAAAGGTATTAGCGAGTAATTGAGCCTCTGTGGAAGTAGTGGTCATTGTCCCATCTGGCCTTCGCAATTGGCATACGACTTCTTGTTGACGGATAAGCTCGAGACGCCCGCGTTTTATACGATTGCGTTCAATGGCTTGTTTTAGGACGGAACAGTGATGCCGGTAAAGATCGTCCTTCATTGACCATCGCGCAGTCTTGCAAACGGTTACGTAATCAACATGAGTGTTCAACGTCTTCGTCTGTTTTAGCCCATACTTCAATTCACGCCTACGAAGAAGAAGAGAACGAGTTCTCTTAGAGATTCGTTCAAGCGGCACCCAAGAGACTTCGGCGAAAGTAGCAGCATCTTGAATAGATTTACACAATTGTTGCCAAGAGTCCACCGGGTCAGCCGTCACAGATGTCGAGGATGAAATCTTGGCAATTCGTTTATCATTCAGCAAGGCTGTTTTCATTTTTATCTCGCTACTAGCTGATCTGCCCGGTCCAGCCCGGGAAATCACTGATCGGGAATGAAGATAAGGTATTCGGTGGCATTGTAGAAACTGTGTAAAGAACAAAAACAAAATGTGAACACTTATTAGTCGGTAGCATATCTCTCTTTCTCCAAATCATGTTCAACACGCAAAACCTACGCAAGCAGCGCGAGTTAATTGATAGCAGCGCTCATTGTTATTATGAGGATCATTTTTTTGTGACACTTTGCCGTTAACCGGCTACTTCATCTTCATTCACTGCTTGCCGTCAATTTTTGTGGAGTCGGCAGTACTTTGCACTCGCGCACTTTCCTGGTCCCAGGGATCAACTATAGCGAATGTGAGTTGTCGCTTGTCTTGACATTATTTCTGGTATTGACAAATAATTTGTGCGCAATCTCATGAAAAATTTTGACCCCTCATTGTTTAAATTGAGCATGTAACGAAGAAAGCTTTGATTATAAGCGTAAATTGAGCACCTTCCGTACAAAACACTCGCTACAAAGCACTCATGGTCTCTTGCACGCTAAGGTTTCCGCAGCATAAAATACATTTAGTGCATCCATTTAAATGAGCAATTGAGACTCACATCAAGAAGCGCCAGGTCCATCGTGTCTTTTTAGGCTTTTGGAAAAAAGTATTCATTATATAGAACCTTTCCGACTCCGCAAATTCTACCAACGCCTGTCCTTTGTTGTTTCGTGATCCGTAGCATTTCTGACCTACGAACTCAGATCGCATTTTTCCTCCTCCTACACGTGCGTTGAAATCGCCAATTAAAATGTCGT